AACATGATGTTGAGCGTCACCAAACGAGATCAGGCCGGGGAAGAAAGCATGTTCCGTGTGAATCGGCGACATCAGTCGAGAAACATCGTGCTGTGGTGTAGTGCGTGCTGGTGCGCGCGGCTGGGCGCGCCTCTGCGGCCGACCGCCGGAGGCGGGGGCTGACCGGCCGCCGGTCAGCGGTCACCGGGACGTCGGTCTTCTGCTTCCGGTGAGAGCGCGCGGATGTCACGCTGGTGGCAAGGAGAAGGGCGTGCCAAATGGAGTCGCGGGAGAAATTGGTGTAGGGTGGTGGGGAAGAGCTGGAAGACTTCTTGCGACGGTTGGATGCCTTTCGGATGACAGTGGTGAATGAGAAGAAGGCGATGTGGAAGGCGCTTGTTGGCCTCGGTTCGCGGATTGTGGTGATGGGTCCACTGTCAGAAGAGGACACAGAGGATGTTCAGAGCGCGAAGTCGGCAGCGTGTCGGCAGCTCGGTCCGTCCCAGAGCTGGTATCAGGACCGGCTTAATCAGCGACGTAAGCAGCCCTTCCGAGGCATAAGGCACGTTTCTTTCCGATCTACTCTCATTGTTTCGTGGCGCATTCCCTGACTCGGGGCCTGACACGTCTGTCGGAGCAGCTATCTTGAGGAGTCAGTTCTTGAATGACATTTAATCCTATATTGCGGCGCGGTTACGGCTCTTGTATCCCGGCATTGACGTTGATATGATGATACATACAAAACAGAGTGAGGAGGCTGTCCGTCGCTCGCCGGCTGAGGTCAGTCACATTGTGGAGGGGTCCTGCGGTAGAGAAGGGAGCGGCTGATCATCCCCGTGACGAGGTGGACCGAGCTTGCTCGTGCCGTGTTCCGAGACCCGCGCTGCGGCCGGGTCAGCTGGCCGGCTGGTGCTATCGCCGGGGGCGGCGTGACGTCACTCGGAGCCGGACGGGTCAGCCAGTGGCCGGCTCAGCAGGGCGAGAGACCGTCACGTGACCCGGCCAAGGTCAGCTGCGCGGCCGGCCCACAGGAGCGTGCCCACGGGGAGGGCAGCTGCGCGACATAGCGGGCTGGCCGGCGTCCGGGTCGGGCCGGGCTGGTTTCAGGGGCAGGCGAGCGCGATGTTAGACATGCAGTCCTTCTGACCACCGGTAGGTGGAGTGTACCCAGGCTCCATCTGGTCCCGGCCGGGGGTCACCGGCACCCGTGGTCTGCTGGCGTTGTGAGTTTGGGCACAACCAGCATGACTGTCCTCAGGCTTTAAACTGAGGAGGATTACTACCGCGGGACCGGTGGTAACCGGATCCAGAGGTCAAAGGTCCTCGCAATTCGCAAGTACGTTTGCTTCATGTGCGTGGTCGCAATGCGACAGTGGATTGTACGTGGTTGGTTGATACGGGAGCAGTGGCCACCTGTGTGTCGGCATCTCTTCCGGGGGTCAGCTCGTTTCCACTCAACCCAGCGGCTGTACACCCGATCGCAGCCAATCACACGACATTGAAACGTGTTGGTATGATTTCGGCAAACGCTTCGGTCGGTCCGGCAACGATAAATGACGCTCAGGCACTGATGGTGGAAGATTTGCCTGCTTCGGCCATCCTTGGAAATGATGCTCTGACGTTGTTCAAGTCCGTCCAAGTAAACTACACCGAGCGGGTGCTGTATTTAGGGCATTTTCGCACACAGTTGGAGGAGTAGGCACTCCGACGCATCCAGTTTCTGTGCACCTTGTATCTGATTGAACGGCAAAACCTTTTTCTAAAAGGATGATTTACGCGCAAGCTGAGGATTTGGAGTCGATTTCCCGAGATGTTATGTTTGATCCGGATGCTCGACAAGTGGAACGTTACGGGATTTCAGTTAGTCCCTGCCTGGCCAGGCCTGGAGTGGATTAGCCGCATTCCAATTCTCGTGGAAAAACCCCGGATCAGATTCTGTCCGTCCTTGTATCCATTCCGTCGTTGATGAGGTTGAAGACATGGAGACGGCTCCAGTAGGGAGTGACAGGCCTACACGGGTCGGAGTGGTACACGTTGATTTGGCTGAAGCGGAAGTCAACCAGGTCAGTCACAGGAAACTGAAGAGTCTATTTCACGGGTGTCTGGACGTGTTCGCAAATTCTGATGCTGAGCTGGGACGAGCACATCGCGCCCATTTCGACATCAACACCGGCGGGTCGCCACCTGTTGCAGTTTGGCCAAGAAGGACCCCATATCATTTGAGACCAGAAGTGCGGGGGCTTATCGTTGACACGGAGGCCCTCGGGCTAATCCAGCGTACCAGTTACCCTTGGTCGTCACCCATTTTGGTGTTTGAGAAGTGAGATGGTACTTTTCGTTGTGTGGTGAACTTCCGTGCGTTAGACAGCAAGACGATGGGCGAGATCTGCTACATACCATCTGTCAAGGAATGCCTAGATAGCTTGGCCGGTGCAAAAACTGAAATAGAGCACCTGCACCTGCTGCGAACCATGTTCGTAAGGCTGAGTTGTACGGGTTTGACTGTAGAGAGTAAGAGGATGGTGCTCTGCAGGCGTCTGATAAGGTTCCTTGGGCACGTTGTGCCATCCTCAGGTCTCGAGCCAGGTGCAGACAAGGTTGAGGTCATCAAGGACTGGCCGTGACCACAGGCAACCAAGCAGTTGAAACAATTTCTTGGGCTGTGCAATGACTTACAACGATTTCGCGCCAATCTCTAGGCTGTGGCAGTTCCGCTGCATACAATCTCTAAAGGACCAAGCTCCAGTGGGATGAAAGGAAAGTCAATGCCTTTCAGGAACTGAGGCATGCCCTCGGCACGACCTCGCTCTTACATTTGCTAGACACGCAGCAAGAACCTGAGGCTGGCACGGATACACTGGATTTTGGCTTTGGATGTTTTCTGTCGCAGGGGGACCAACCAGGAGTCAATAGGCCGGTGAGCTTTGCCTCAAAGACCTTGTCTGATAGTGAGAAGAGCTGGTACATTTGAGGTAAGCCGGTGCTCATTTTTGTTTTTGCTTTGAGGGAATTCCATCTGCACCTGCTTTGCGCGCGCATCAAGTGGCTCACTGACCACCGCTGGCTTCAGCGGTTACGCAACACAAAAGATCCGAGAGGGCGGGCACGCGTACTGGGTTGAGAAGATTGAGGAGTTCAATTTTCTATACATTTCAGAAAAGCTAGGAAAAACCAACACACGGATGCTTTATCTCGCGTGATGATCTGCGCAGCGCAGCCAGTGCCGCAGTCTCAGCCACATGATCTCATCCACCTGGTCGGGGGGGGGGGAAGGGGGGGGGGGGTTGCGAGATGCTCAGGAGCGGGACGGGGCGGCCAGCGTACTGCGCATGGAAGCGCGCCTCAACCGGGTGGAGGGTCCACATAGCCGTCGGTGCCGGCAGGGCGGTTTTGAACCGGTCATTGATCAGGGCAGCGGTTTGTTAGTCGTCGTCAAAGCAGGTATAAATGAGACGCTGGTCCCGAAAGGTCTCATTCCACGCGTTTTGAGTCTCCAGCATGACTAGTTTGGCCATTTCGGACTGGGAGACTGGAAGGACCTGTCAGCTGCTGCAGTGGACCGGAAACATTTCATGGGAAATGGAGCAGGATGTCAGGAACTACCGTAAGGCTATTTGGCTCCTGCCGTTCAAACAACACGCAACGCTGTTTCACGGCGTCGTTGGAAATGACGACGCAGCCCGCAGCTCTTTGGCAGCACGTCGCTGCCGGCCTGATGGGACCGTTCGGACGTGAGATCACAGAGCAGGGTAATCGATACGTTCTGTTCGCACTGGGCCTGAGCAAAAGTGTGTAGCTGGCTACCATTCCAGACAAATCGGCAGAAGCCGTGGCCAGGTCGCTGACCGAGAAGTGTTCTTTACCGTCACGGCCTCCCGGAATCCACACTGACAGACTTGCGGCCTGGGATCCCTGGACGATCCAAGGTAGGATCTCTGTTTCTTGTTGCTGTGACTGTTAATTCGAACAGAAGGCATCTCCCCCATTGTAAAAAAACGTCCCAGCCTAATCTTGGGTGGTTTGAGCTTCTTTTGAAAGACTTTCGGAAGACTTCACGGCGGTCGTTCTTACGTGAACGGCGCGAGAGCCGTCTGGTGTTGCCTGCCGGGGCCAACGCCGTTCGTTTTTACAAACTCTGCAACCCCGGTCGTCACTGGTTTTGTTCCAGAGATTGCGAACTTTTGAGGCATAACAACTGTTTTACGTTATTTGTTTCACTAGTCGGTTCTGCAAAAGGATGAGCGTTCTCGGGCAAACATGGGCTGGATTTTTTCATTTTTGACCGTGTTTGGATTCACGTTGTCCTGCCGCACCCGGTGATTGGTGCGTTGAGGCGTGCCCGATCCCGACAATGTTCCGTTAGAAGGTTCGTAAACCCGAACATACCTAAATCTTTTCAGTGAATAACGTTGTTTCAAAGACGCTACTTTCCCTTGGGCCGTTTCGCTCTCCCTAGCCCTATGTGGTTATATATATATATATATATATATATATATATATATTATATATATATATATATATATATATATATATATATGTTTTCACATGCAATAACGCCAGGGTTATCACGCCTCTTTCCACTGTGGTGATAGGTCAAAACGGATCACCGAAGCGGACCTGCACCAGGCATAGGTTCCTGATGCCTTGACGTTACAAAGAGCTAGATACCGCCTGGTCCTTTGATGTGCTCTGCTTCATCCCGTTGTGTGTGTGAGCCATTTGCACAGTAATTCAACAGTTGAGCCATTTGCACAGTAATTCAACAGTTCAGCCATTTGCACAGTAATTCAACAGTTGAGCCATTTGCACAGTAATTCAACAGTTGAGCCATTTGCACAGTAATTCAACAGTGAGCCATTTGCACAGTAATTCACAGTTTTCTCACGACTGTTACGAGTTTTCTTGGCTTCCGTGGGTCTCCTGTGGCATGCATTTGACAGTCAATCCGCGCGCTGTATCGGCTGTGGGATGCCAGAATGTCAATTATGCGATTTTCCAATGTACCTTACACAATAGAAGTCATGGACAAGCGCTGGTACATGCTGCGGGTATCGGGGTGAACGCAGTTTCTCGAGTTTCAACCTTTTGTAGATTGTGAGTGCTGCTGAGGGTAATGGAATAACCATGGGCGCGGCACGTCGTGGAGCCTCGGCGCTCCCAGTAGCAAGAAGTGACGTCACGGAGGACCTTTAAAGCCGAGCTAATAGTACCAACGCTACCTGGCCAGCATCCATGGTTCGAACATGCTATCAGAAATACTCAGGATTGTCGTTTCAGTTAGATGACTCCTGCAAAGCCCGGCAGGCCCAATATGTTAGTACAGGCGATGTTAAGGACGTCATTAGCTTGTCGCACGCCAGGCTCTTGTTCAGCACGCGCTCTTAAGGAATGAGCGAAATAGCATGAAGTTGCCTGGTGTGGCCAGATCTAGCAATGAATCCCACATGTGGTATCTCCCACCTCAACGGCATTATCCCCGAGGCAAAACCGCTGTCAATAATATGCGGTATATGTAATACTTGCATTAGAACCAGTAGACAAACCTCAGCACTGTGACGCATCACGCCATCGCAGCCACGAGCAATTCAATAGTAACATCGCGCACCATCGATACCATCGTATCAAAGCGTTCATGTCGGAAGCATGTCGTAGGTGGAGGAGCCGGCGTACACTTATGTAACACGCAAGTCCCGTGCGCCCACCCGAGTTGCTGACAATACCGTGTCGGATATTTCCCTCATGATGAAAGCGACGAGCCGGTTGGCCGGCTGCGATCTCATCCGGCAGCTTTGTTAGCCATCGCCTCCTGTCGCCGATGATGCCACGAATGACGTGATGGCTCTGCTCGCTTCTGAGCCTCGTCGTCTCCGTGCGTCGTTAGATGTCTTCGCGACGGTCGAATAGGCTGGCGGCACGTTCCCGACGATCCAGCTGCTTGCACATCCGTGGTTGCGACGATGGGCGCATTGCTGTGTGATGACCTCCACAGTGGTGTCATGACACCGAGAGAGCTACCGGGCTGTGGATGTGAACCTCCCGCTATCGGGGAAAGCTTATCAAGCAGCTGTTCACACGGTGGCCAAGAGCGCATCCCACTGTTCATCTGGAGTAAAATGGCGCCAAGGCATCGCTCCAGCTGGCCGCAATTTTGTACAACCATATTATTGTTCGTCTGCCGATCGTTACACGCGCCATTTCTTTCCTCCGTTTTTCCGTTTGCCTGTTGCGTTCATGTTCAAGGTAGAAGTTTACAGATGATGGTCACTGCAGCGACCGAGTTGGATGTCGGTGTGTTGGATCTGGATCGGAGAGTTGCCGACAATTACGCTCACCAGAAACTCACGTTCACTGGGTAACTGAGGCGTTAGTGCAATCTGGGTCAGCGAAAATGTCTCGACACCTGACGAAGTCGACGCACGCAGTGCCGGCTGTCCTCGTGCAACGAGTTGTAGACGAGATCACCTGTGATAAGCGCCGGCCGTTTGCACTATGCATGGTAAAAGGGAGATGTCTTGCGGACGGCCTTGACCACGCGCTTCATGTCAGATTTTTGTCATGGCACGTAGGCATGCGGAGGCCTCTACCGACATATCGAAGGTCAGGCGGTCAGGTCACCGAAGGTGCGGCGGCTGCTCCTGACCTCTCAGGACGAAGCCGTCCCCTCGTCGGTAGGCCAATCGCCCGAAGGTCACGACCCCACCGCCGCGGGCGCTGGTCGACGCAGTGTTGATCCGAGGACAGGGCGATCATTCCCAATGGCTACCATCGCCTGGGGGAGTCAGTCAAGGAAAACTCTACCGAAATCAGGCTTGAGCCAAAGACCTCTCACCAGGATTGGCATGCGCGCTAGCCGACCGCGCAACCGAAGTGTTTCAGAACAACTTAAGATAAACACTTGAAACTTGCTATCAGTGTGCAAGTCTTTGTCATCTATGATAAATGTTGTGGTGCTTGAAATTTTGAGAATGCATGCACATTTTATAGTTTTTTTCCAAAAAATTTCGTTTTCAGATCAATATACTAAAACCTAACAATTTCTTGATCCGATATTGCAGTTTTGCAGCTTCCAATTTCTTCATTCGGTGTCTTCTTTTCGTGCAATGTGCACTGTGATAATTCGATTCAGTCTGCAATTTGCTCAGAACACGGTCGAAATTCTCGAAAGCTTTCGTGTCGCTACATGATTGGCGAGGTTGCCAATCAACCAGCAGTGATGTTGATTCACCTGGGGGGGGGGGGGAAGTTGACTTCCTCTGAGGTTTTTCTAGCACAAGTCAAAAACGAACGCGCACAGTGAGATAATTCCAGTAGCTGTTTATCTATAACATTCATCTATTTTGGTGCAGCTTTCGTGTTTATTTATGAATCAAAAAGTACTAACTCACATGAAAAACCATCATAATACCACAGGGTATATGACCATGGCACGAATCATTCTTGCTTTAATGGGCACCTTATGCAAAACGCATGCTGAGCTCAAAACAGGCAGTTTTATTGCATAATTTTGGACGCATAATTATGATACTGAACGGAAACTATGTGACGCTGGAATGCTTAGTGAGGTCACAATAGGTTGCATGAAGACATGCAGGGCCCAATGAGGCCATCCAAGGTCCTAGACCTAGACCAAGACATGGGTCCAAGACCTATGTTATCAGTAGCGGAGAGTCTAGATGAACAAGTGCGACGCTTGTGGCCACCTCCTTATCGTGTTTGTGGAGCTGATCACGTATAATTTCGTGCACCAATGTGCCTGATCTCAATTTGTTGCAATCCGTCGATGTGGCCAGGCATAATGAATGCAACAGCTATGCGATTTTGAGTCCTGTATGTGTCCAACACGCGTTTTTCATAAGAAAGCATTGTGCTGATCACATTGACCCAGCTAGCACTCCAATTTTTGTCATTTGAATGGCATATGAAGTTGACTTTAGCTGACCTCCAGGTCAGCCCAAAATAGTATGTTTGTTCCTGGAATGCTTTTGTTCTATAGCTGCGCGTGACAAAATAAGTTTGACAGGAGGCAAATGGGAAAAGAATGTTCTTGTAGGCTCGTGGTAGGCCACTTTTGAACGGTGACCTGATTTGACCTAACCCTTGTGGGAAACATAATTGGTCGGAATAGGCTTCCCACAGTCTTACGCTTATCTCCGTGCCCTCAATATCCGTGTCGACGTGTTAACACAAGCGTTAACTGCATGGATCGGAACAACCGTTTTTGACGTATGGTGACCTCTGGTAACCTCAAATTTGACCTAGGTCAAACATTTACCGCGCATTCTTTATTGACGGGACCTTCACAACAGTATTTTTTTCTTTGTCCTGCGTCGTCTGGAAGTTGGGGGTCCCAGCTGGAGCCAACTTCCCCTGGCTCGGCGGTAGTCTCAGACCTCCGGCCCGGCACAGGCTAACTGGACGCTCTCTCTTCTTCCGAGTTGTGCTCTGGTCTGGACGCTGGAGTTGCAGTAGCGAATGTCGCGTGCCATGGTCGTTCAGCCTCCACCACAGGGGGACAGTCTCGTACAGAAGGTTTGGTGCAGGGGGCCGAGCGGAAATATTGAGTTAGGTAAAATACACCAGAAACAGTGAAGTGCAAATACACTACAAAATAACCAAAGGTACACCAAAAAATTAAAATCCTCGAATTTGACCCACTTTCCTGTTAAAGTTTGTGGGCTTGGAGTCCCCCAATGAAAGGAAAGCTTCATCTTTGTGCCAATATGTTTCCTTGCTCTGCCCCGGCGGAAAATGCCGTCGTTGGCACCATTCATGTTGTTTAGTATCGATGGTCGCAACCAGGCTTCAGTAATCGACGTAGCGCCTATGTTATGTGGCTTCAGGCATAAGTAGTATAATCAGTAATAAGGGTCACGAGCTGATGTGCGGGTTAATAGAAAGTTGCCACAGGAATTTCCGTCCGGTAACAGTGAAGCGAGCTGCGGGCTGCGGCGCGGCACTCGCGTTAGGATGTTCACAGCTAGCGTTGTCTTGCTAGTTATCGTCGGACGATTGATGCTATCAGTTGCCAGGTTTTCGTAATTGTTCCATTGAATAATCCATGTTGAAATGTAGGTCTGCCAATTTTAAGGGTTCTTCCGAAAACGGGTGTCGAGTAAGTTTGTCCCGATTTTAGGTGCTCATATTTGACCGGTTTGTGTTAATTATCTGATAAGTCATCGGCGCAGATCCAAGCCCGCATAACTAAAATGCACAATTCGTTGCACTCTGTAGAACTTGGAAACATCGCCGAATACCGGAAAAGCACTCAGACAAAAACACAAAACTACATTAATCAACAAGACATCTGCATCATGTGATTAAAACATGCAGCACGCAAGCTGCAGCAAAAAGGATTTTTTACGAACGCACGATGTTTGACTAGCTCAGTCAGCCGCAGTCAACTGAACGTCGCAGGTTTAGTTTACTCTCATTTTTTATGTTCAGGTCTGCTTTGACTACAGAAGATTGAGA